AAAGCAACTTCAGATTTGTGCATAAAATTGAAATATGGAAATAGTTGCTGAGAAAAAATGATTTGGATATTGACTATAGGACACCTAAGTATGTCGATTTATAGAACAAGTTTTAAGTTTTATGCGCATAAGAATCGTTTACACAATCAAGTCATTTTCAAGATAGTTATAACTAACTTTCTATCACACGTTAAACTACATTAATATTATAAAAAAAAATTGACAATACAATTTATATGTATATGCTTTTATGTGCTACACTTTGACACCATTATAATGAATGTGAGTAAACAAGTTTTATCTTTGTCTACTGCTAGTATGCAAATATCATTAGCATTCTTTACTATTGATCTGTCTTGTACTTAAACATGACACAAACTGTATAACAAACTTGCTATTCAAGCTTTAGTGAATCTAGTACTTCCTCCGTCCACATTTAATTGTCATGGTTTCTATTTTTAAAGTCAAAGTAGAAGAACTTTGACTAACATTTTAAGATGTATTTTTCATCATATTGATATTAAAAAAAATTATAATTTATAGTACTTTTCATATTGTTTTTGAATATCTAATACTTTTGTTTAAAATATTGAATTAATCATATATTCATATATATATATATATATATATATATATATGGCGTCACCCAAAATCAGGATTCCCCTTTAATTTGTTTTATTACAAAACTAGTCACCCTTTCGTGAAAAGTTGTGACTTTTATGAAAAGTCAGGACTTTAACGAAGAGTTGTGACTTTGATAAAAGTTTTGACTTTAATGAAGAGTTTCGACTTTAATGAAAAATTGCGAATTTAATGAAAAGTTGCGACTTTTATGAAGAGTTGCGACTTTTATGAAAAGGTGCAACTTTTAAGGTTGTGGCCTTTTGAAATGGTCGCAATTATTTAAAATAGTTGTAATCTTTCTGATAAAGCACAATAAACATTTATTTACACAATCCTTTGTTGTCTATAAATAGAAGGATTTCCTCTCATTCTAAAACTACGAAAATTCTAAACTTGTCCTTCTCTTTCTCCTCCTCCTCTTCCTTCATAATTAAATATTTGTGTACTTTGCTCCTGTTGAATGGTTCATTAGCAGCATTGCTTTTGTTACACATCTTGGTATGTCTTTAACAATCTATGTTATTAAGGATAAATGGTAAGATGCAATAAATTTCTTTTTTCCTTTACATTATTAATGTTTGTTACTACGTAATTTTGAATATAAGATAATATAGTGTTTTAGTGATAATGTCGGATATGTTTTACGTAATATTTTATAATTTTTGTGAAATTTGATTCCCGCGCGAAGTGCAAGTAATTTTACTAGAGTAATCTAATTTAACATTAAAAGTTAGTTAAATTGACTTTCGAAAAGTGTAACATGACAAATAAAAATGGACGAAAGGAGTAATAGAATTACTCATATGTTTTTGTGAAGAAATCACAAGTTTTGGTGTTTGTTAAATTTTTTGATTGAAAAGTGATATCTCCCATAAATCCAAATGATTAAAACTTGAGGTGTTATTCTTAACTGGACAATCAAAAATTCTTTTCTACCTACAATTGTGTCTCTATCAACCCCTTGAATTTTTAGAAGGGGATATATTAAGCTTATGATCATTAATTATGCAATGCTAACTTATACTCAATAACTTCAACAATGCACGAGCTTGCTTGCATTGTTGGCCTCAAGTTTTAATAAAGGAGGAGGGTGACAAGCTCGTGCATTGTCGGCCTCAAGTTTTAATAAAGGAGGAGGTTGACATTGTGGTAGGCTGACATTCTGCGTTGAAGAAACCTATCCCCTAGAACAAGAATCAGGTTCTTGTAAGTTGGTTTTAAGTCAAAACACAAACACTTGTTAAATTAAAAATCTTCCTCAATCAAGGAAGGAAAACCCCCGTTTTATTAATTCAACTTGATAATTTTATGATTACAACTCAATAATCAAAAACATCACCACTACTACAACTCTCGATTAACTATAATCGACTACTTCTACTCTCCAAAAGGTCAAACCCACCTTTTGTTATAAACCTCACCAAAACTCAACTCTACAAGAAGTCAAACCTACTTCTTGTACAAAGAATCGTAACTAACACTAAGAATGAAACAAGAAAATAGTTTTACACGTTCAAGACTTTCTAACTCAAAAACTTCTTGAACTTAGCAAACCTATATATCTTGAATACTTCTACTCAATGAATAATTCTCACTTTTCTCTCTATGTGTAGTCGTGACCTCTTCATCTGCAATTGTCCTCTTCTTATAGAGTTTTCTTTTTCCTTGAATCCTTATCAGATAAGGTAAGGAAATTGTAATTGTATTTAAACAAGGATTACTGATTTTACTTTTTATAGTACAATCCTTATTATATACAACTTCCTTCCTTAATAAAATATATTAAGATTTTCTTATTTGTATCAACTTGTATCTTCAATATATTAAATTTTGGCTTTGACAAATAATTCTATTGCTTGACTGCGTGGCTGCGTCATTTTGCTACTGTGACAAATAATTCTATTGCTTGGCTGCGTCAATTTGCTACTACAATTGTTTGCATTTCTTGTCTATCATCAAAACATCGATTTTTTTATTCTTGTAGTAGAATTACCAATTCTATCAAGCGTAAAACTTGTTAATTCATGATGAATCCTATCGATTTCATGAGATGAGTTTCAATGAAGAGGTAAAAATTAATACCGTTAATCTGAATATGTTTGGGAAGAAGCAATAGTTATTATTATAATTTCTCCAAAAAGAACTCTTATTACCATACATTCTGTTTCCTATAAATACTTTAGGAACTTTTAGTTAAGAAAAGTAGAGGTAATTACTATTATTATATATATATATATATATCTAGCAATGTTGCACAAGACATGAAAATGGGCACTTGATCTTTTTGTTCATTAATGATCTGAAAGTAGCTTATTTATAGAAGTACAAAAAGATACATATTGGCAGATCTAATACAAATTACAAAATGTCTTTAGTCAAATCTAAGATAACATGCTCATCATTAAAACCTATATTAAATAAAGTCAATATGGTTATCTTTGTTTGTCATTAGAAATGATTAAAAAAAGAAGTATAAATTAAAAACTATGAACAATAAAAACTGAAACATCTTTAAAGTAGTCTTTTTATTTCTTGCATGGCAAAAATTCTTGAAAGGGGTTTACTAGGTGATACTGATAACTGAGGGAACTCTCTTTATGAGACTTGAGTCTTCACAATACGACATAAAAATTTTATAAATATTTTAGAAATTTGATTATTATATAGTTGAATACAAACTCTTTATGAGATAAACTAAAAGCATGGACTCTAATATAGAGTACAACTATTACAACTACTGTTATGATGTCTTCCTAACAAATAAAAATTAATTTATTGAATTGAATGAATAATTTTTCTTTGTTTATTCTAACTCTCATGGATAATCTTCAAGAGTTGAATGAGAATAGAGATCAATTACTGACTTCCTTGACCAGTTTAAAATTTGAATATATTGATCTTAAAAAAATTAATTCTGATCTCAAGAAAGAAAATCAACTCATAAAGGAACATGTACAACAACTTGAATTATCCAGAATGTATGGCATGGTGTTAAATTGGGAACTGAATATGATTTAATAGTGGTCCTTTTGATTAATCATAACTTAAATTCTTTTTGTAGCCAAGTGATGCAGCTTATGGATCCATTTTACGTCTGAATGCGAGAAGATCCTCGGATTGAAGTAATCCAAATAACATTCAATGTATAGATCCTTTATGATAATGGTTGTAATGGATTTAGTAGATACTAATGTTTGTGTTTGCTAATTGAAATATATGTTTGAGACTCATTATGTTATATTGTTTTGTGTTAATGTACCAAAGTTCATTACGTTATAGTCTTGTGTGTACTGTACAAAGTTACCAATACGAAAGCAATTTGAATAATAAAATGTCTTATCAATCAGTTCTTACGAATTATAAATACATAAATAAAATACAAAGCTAGGTAGGTTTTAACCCCCACTAAAAAAGCATATTGCAGGGGTTTTATACCCCACAACTACTAAAATAATTAACTTAAAACATGACATGTTGCGGGGGTTTTAACCGCCGCTAAAATATTGCAGCAGCCAGGAAAACAACTTCGGTAAACTGGTAGCGGCGAACGTTTTTGGGGCGGATTTGGAAATACCGTGGCAACTGATTGCAGAGGTTGGTGACCGCCGCAACATGCAAATTTACCTTCCCGCAAATGACGCGTTTTTGTTAGTGCAAAAAGGAAATGCCAGAGGCAAATATAAGGCTCATGTTCTCTGTGGGCCGGAAACTCAGCAAAAGTCCAAGATTCTTTGGCAAAAATAAGCCAAAAGAATATATCTTTTAGTACATAAAATTTACAGAAAAAAGTCTGAAATATATTCAAATTTTGATCAAAATTGTTGTAACGATACCAAACTCTGGAAACGACATTGTACCCCTCCCTTATACTTTTGGGCTAAATATACTCCTCTCATTATACTTTCGGGCTAAATTTTTTTAATTGAATGGTTCTTTTAATCCTTACCGTCTCAATTAATTATAAGGATATATTTAGCTCGAAAGTATAACAAGCGGTATATTTGACCCTTTTCAGTTTCTCTATTATATCGTAACAAAATGTCTACAAGGGAGCTCTGCCCTGCAAAAAAACCATTACTTATAAATGGCTTGGCTGGCAATGAATTTGTAATCTAATGAAAAGGTTTGCCATCAAAGTCATATGACCTACCGATTGTACGTTCAATTTGCTTGTGTTTTCTTTGTAATTCGTTTAGGAAAAAAATGTCCCCCTAACATAGAAAAAGAATGTTCCCTAACAAAAACGACTTTTTACCCAAGGATATTTAAACCTAAACCTTTATTTAAGGATGAAAAAATACTTTTCACTCAACCAAAATCCGTTTTTGTTATTTTTTGCTATTACTATGTAATTTCATTAGAAGAAACTTTTTCTATGGTCGTTAAAGGAGTTGGCAATTTTCATTTTACAAAGATAAATACGTACACTTTTGGAAAAAATATTAAAATTGTAGTAGTGGTAGTTAAGTAAAGTTTTTGAAAAAAAATATTAAAATTGTAGTAGTGGTAGTTAAGTAAAGTTTTTGAAAAAAAAAATATTAAAATTGTATTAGTGGTAGTAAAGTAGAGTTTTTGAAAACAAAAATATTAAAATTGTATTAGTGGTATTAAAGTTGTGTGACTTGATAAAGGAGGAAATTGACTTGGGTCAATAACAATAATGCTTTAAGATCACTTTGTTATTTATACATATGGAGTACAAGTTCCTAGCTAGCTAGATATATCCGATGGAGTACCAAAAATTGATAGTGGCTTTCTGTTTCCACTCTCTTCTTATACTTTTTGTCCATCAATCTCAGCTTACATATGCTGGGAAACATCTCTGTGCGCGTGATGAAGCTTTTTATTTGCTTCAACTTAAGCAAGGCCTCACCGTTGATCCACATGCTTATTTCTATGGTTGTGACAGTGAGGCCGAAGCCAAGACTTTGTCCTGGAATGCTACAAGAGATTGTTGTGAATGGGGTGGTGTTACTTGCAATGTATTTACAGGTCATGTCATAGGCCTCGATCTTTCTTCGAGCTGTCTTAGGGGAACCATCGATGCTAACAGCACCCTCAAAAAACTTGGTCATCTTCAAAGACTCAACCTTGCATACAACGAGTTGAGTGACTTTCCACTTGGAAATAGCATTAGTCAACTCAGTAGTTTGACGCATCTCAATCTTTCGCATTCTGGAAATATGATGCAGATCCCAGCAGGATTAACAAACTTGTCTAAATTGGTTTCACTTGACCTCTCCTGGCACACTAAATTACAATTTGGTTTAACAACGTTCAGAAGTTTGCTTCAAGACTTAACCAATTTGGAGGTACTGTTGCTTGACAACGTGGACGTTTTTGGGAACATAAGTGAGTTACCTAAGAACCTTTCTTCTTCCCTTAGGTACTTAAGTCTTGGAGACACCAACATGTTTGGGAACATAGGTGAGTCTGAGATTTTTCATCTACCAAACTTGCAAGTGCTGAGATTGGGAAATAATCCTTTATTAACAGGCACTTTGCCGAATTACCGTTGGAATTTCAGTGAAAGTGTTTTAGAGTTGGACTTCTCTAATACTGGTATTTTTGGGAAGCTACCTGGTTCAATTGCTAATCTCCATTATCTTTGGCGTTTGAACCTCCGTAATTGCCATTTATCCGGCTCGATTCCAGTATCCCTTGGCAACCTCACTACAATCAGAGAGTTGATACTTACACGTAACAACTTTACTGGTAATGTTCCCTCAACTATCTCACAATTAAACAAACTCGTATACTTAGATCTCTCTTCCAACCATTTTCGAGGATCGATTCCAGAATCTATTGGCAACCTCACTGCAATCACAGTGCTGGATCTTTCATATAACAGCTTCACAGGAAATGTTCCCTCAACTATCCAAAAGATGAACAAACTTAGCGACTTATCTCTCTCTTCCAATAATTTTGGAGGTTCGATTCCAGACATCTTTGCCAACATTTCAGAGCTATCATTTTTAGGTTTTCACACTAACAATTTCACTGGCCCCCTCCCATATTCCATTACAACCTTGACACGCCTTGCAACATTATACTTGCAAAACAATTCGCTAACTAGACCACTTCCCTCTAATATAAGCGGATTTCAGGAGCTGACAGTGCTCGATTTGTCATTTAATTGTTTCACTGGCGCAGCACCCTCTTGGTTATTCCATCTTCCATCCTTATATAATTTATATGTTCAACACAATCAATTAACCGGGAAATTGCCAAATGAGCTCAAGAGCAATTATGTAGAATACTCAGATATTAATCTTTCATACAACAACCTGCAAGGTGAAATTCCTGATTGGATGTTTTCTCCAAGATTGGGTAGACTGGATCTCTCTCATAACTTCCTCACAGGCTTTGTAATACAAGTATGGCCCTCAGGAAGCTTACGATACCTTAATCTGGAAAACAATTTTCTTCAAGGGTCTTTGTATCAGTCCTTTTGTGACATGGTTATGCTTGAAATCCTCATTTTGGCTCAGAACAATTTCAGTGGTTCAATCCCAGATTGTTTGGGTAACTCCAAAAGTCTCATTTATATTTTAGACTTGCGAATGAACAAATTTCATGGAGAGATACCAAGATTCTTACCTACACGGTTAGAGTATCTTGGTTTATATGGCAATCAATTGACGGGACAAGTCCCCCGATCCTTGGTTAACTATACAAGCTTGGAAGCTATTGATTTGGGGAACAACAAGTTAAATGACACGTTCCCCATATGGCTGGAGAAATTTCCATACCTACGAGTTCTGATTCTGAAATCAAATCTCTTTCACGGTCCAATTGGTGATTTCGAGTCCGAATTTCCATTTCCTGAGTTACGAATCTTTGACCTTTCCTGCAATGGGTTCACAGGAACTTTGCCATCTAAGTTTTTCAAAAGTTTCAGAGGTATGATGGATGTGAATGAAAAAAAAACAGGAATTACTCAAGTTACTAAAAGGACTCTCAGAGGTTATCTTTACCATGTTAGTTTGATGATAAAAGGTAATGAGTTTAATATGAGAATCACGCCAATCATGACGAGTGTTGATCTATCAAGCAACAGGTTTGAAGGAGATATTCCAAATTCCATTGGAAGTCTGAGCTCACTTGTCTTACTCAACTTGTCTCACAACATTTTCCATGGTCATATTCCTGCAGAATTTACAAAGTTGCAGCAGCTCGAAGCATTAGATATCTCATGGAACAGACTCATCGGAGAAATTCCAGGTCCATTGTCGAGTTTGACATTTCTTGAGGTGTTAAACCTTTCGTACAATCATCTGGCTGGGCGCATTCCTATTGGGAAACAGTTCAATACATTTCCAAATGATTCATACTGTGGAAATCCTGGATTATGTGGATTTCCACTGTCAAAGGAATGTGGAAACAATAATGAGTCACCACTTGAACACGAAGATGATGATTCATTTTTTATGAGCGGGTTCACATGGGAAGCAGTTGTAATAGGTTATGGTTGTGGTATGATATTTGGATTGTTGATAGGCGGCCTCATGTTTCTATTGGGAAAACCAAAATGGTATGTGAACTTTGCTGAAGATATTGCTCAACAAATTAGTGCTAAGAAGGGGACAAGGCAAAAGAAGAGACGTCAAAGACGTGGTCCACGATGAATTAGCAATATAGCAGGTATATATATATATGCATCAAAACAAAATTTCCTGTAGCTGTTTATTGGATAACTTTGTTATTTTTTCCTAAATATTCAAAAACTCATTAAGTCCTTTGCTTCTCAACTTGTCACTGCAGAAAGGTTGCAGGAAATTAAAGTCGGACAAGTCTATCAGTGGATGCATCTGTTTCATCACTTTATGCCCATGCTTGCCAAATACACAATAAGTTACAGTTTATTCTATAGTTTTGTGTCAAATAAGAAATTAGCTTTAGACATAGCAACCTCTATACTCTGTTATCGTATTATATTGTTTCATAATGTATCGTATTATATTGTTCAGCAATATGAATCCACTTTTATCTATTATCTGTCTCGCTCTATTTGGGACCATTTATTCTAAAAACAGAAACGCTAAACCCTATCAACAAATTCAAATTAAGCCAACAAACCTAAAAAATGGAGTACCAAAAATCCTAGATGAGGATATATCTTTATACATATAAAAAGAGAAAAAAATTACCACAAATATGTAATCAACAAATTATGCCAATTAACACAGCAAGATGAGTCAAGTGGTAAATTTTGCTTACCATCTAAGAATTTCATTGAGTATGTCTGTTGTTACTATTATTGTTGTGACGACAACAAAATGAGATACTCCATAAAAGTTCATTCAAGATAAATGTAGTAACTAAAACCTTAAAAGTGGTAGAACATTAAATGCTATCTACTTTGAAATCGCAAAGCTCAATTCTTTTGCTGCAGAAAGGGGTAGTATCGAAGGAAATTGGGTGCCTTTTATTTTAATAAAGGAGCATGTTTAAATTGGCCCGGTGGCCCATCTAATAGCCCCAAACGGCTATAGTTTGCTAATCATGGCTCGTAGTTATATGAGAGAGGCGAGCGAGAAAGGGCAGAAAATAAAAAGAGGTGAATTGTATATGTGTATTTGTCAAATTGTAATATGTAATTGGTTACCACATATGTATTTGTATATCTAGCGAGAGAGATTGGTACATAGAGGAGAGGCGACTGAGAGAGGGCAGAGAGTGGAGAGAGACAAATTGTATTTGTATATCTGTCAAATAATTCTATATATGTTACTGATATACATATGTATTTGTATATGTGGTGAGCGAGACTGGGAGAGGAAGGAGATATAATTTTATTGTTGGAGACAAGTATATCATTTTATTAATATGTATGTGTATTTATACAAGAGAGCAAACTACAAACAACGAAAGAATCAACTACTAAGGGATTGTGATTCTTTACCTAATTATAATAGAAACTAAATCACTAATGAGATACTAAGATATAAAATATTAATCAATTAGCAAGACACCTAATAAATCCTTCCACCGAACTTTGATGATTACCCGTAATAATTAGATCATCAACATAGACAATGAGATAGAGCATAACTCCAGATTTACAATATATAAACGAGCAGTGATTTGACTGAGAGTGGAAAAATCCATATGAAATAAGATAAGATTTGATAGAGCATAACTCCAGATTTAGAATATATAAACGAGCAGTGATTTGACTGAGAGTGGAAAAATCCATATGAAATAAGATAGGATTTGAGTTACTCATACCATGCTCGCGGAGCTTGTTTAAGCCCATAAATTGCTTTGTGAAGCCGACAAACATGAGTGGGATATGTCTCATTCACAAATCCAAGAGGTTGAGACATATAAACTTCTTTTTCATCTTAAGCACACATAAAACATTGGATAAAGTTAAAGGCCGAGAAGATGAAGATAAAGAGGCAGATTCTGTATGAGTGATTTTGTGTTCTGTACCATCACTGAGCATAATGTCTTCAGGGCCATCATAATCTGAGTGAAGGAATAGATTGTGAAGATCCTGTGTGACGTGATGCGAGGCACCATAATCAACAAGCCAATTTTCATCATTGTTGGTGTTGTGAGTTGCATAGTTAGCACGTGGCTATTGTGTTTGAGACGGAGCATTATTTCTTGTATGTCCATCTAATCCAGATCCATTGATTAGAGAGAGAATTGCCAATAATTTTCGGCACTGCTTCACATGATGACCGGGCTTGTCACACAGTTGGCAAGTAACACGAGGATGATTCCTGTTGGTGTATCGACCAACAGGTTGAGCACCAAAATTGTTAGAAGCGGACCTATATGTAGGATTCAAGTCGTTTCCAGTACGTGAAGCATGAGTGGGCCGAGAGCGATTGTTTTGAAGTACTGGTTTAGCAGCCAAATTTGTTGTTATCGGTACTGTGGTAGAGGAAGATGAGCGAATGAGTTTACGCTCAAAATCAAGAAGCTTCTCATGAAGTTCTTCAAATGTCACTGGAGTTTCTCGAGCACGTAAAGCTGCAGTCATAGTGTCATATTCGGCTATGTAAATATGAAGTAATAGAGATATACCCTTTTCAAGTTGCTTAGAGACTCTCTAAGACTCATGATACGAGCACGTGATGGCTTCGCATAGGTTGCTGCCAGATTTTGCCAGAGAGCATAGGAAGATTTGACATCAATGACTAATGGAACAATATCAGATGATAAAGAAGCAACAATGACACTCCGAATGAGATGGTATTGTCGTTGGTGAAAAGGAGTGGTTGTTGAACTTAGTGGTTGTTCAATAAAATGGAGAAAATCATATGCAGTGAGGATGGTTTCCCACTGGTATGTCCATGATTGGTAGTTTGTATTGTCGAGCTTTAGAGGTGCCTGAGCAACAACATTGATGTTGATCAACTGTTCATTGCTATTCATGGTGAGAATTGTGGAAGAATTTGGTACAGATACAGGAGATGAGGTTGAGGTGTTCTCAATTGAAACCATTGTTAGTTGGCAGAGGAAAAGACACAAATTCTCAAAAAAGAAAATGTTATAAAGCTTTTAGGCTCTGGATACCATATAAATTTTGCTGTTGGAGAGAAGTATATCATTTTATTAATATGTATGTGTTATAAAAGAGAGCAAACTACAAACAAGGAAAGAATCAACTACTAATAATGGATTGTTATCTTCACCTAATTATAATAGAAACTAAATCACTAATGAGATACTAATATATGGAACACTAATAGGAGAGAGGCGAGCGAGAGAGGCTAATTGTATTTGTATATTTATCATGTAATTGTGTGCGTATAAGCGATGTAATTACAACTAAAATTAAGTTGTGAACAATAACTAATTCAAGCTAGCGCTTTATTAGTTAATCAACTAATATATATTTATTTATCCGCATAATTTTCTCTTAGTTTTTAGTTCATTTTAGCATTTCACTTTAGCCCAAGTAATATTTAAGCGGATCAATAATCACTCATTTAAATATTCTCAAATTCAGCTTAATCCACCTGGTTGTACCTATTCTTTGGTACCATATTATGTAATTTCATCAGAAGAAACCTTTCCTATGCTTGTTAATCGAGTGGGCAATTTTCTTAATTTTTAGAAAGATAAACGCATATACTTTTGGAAAAAATATGAAAGTGGCATTAGTGGGCGTTAAGTTTTTTTTAAAAATATATTAAAATTGTATTAGTGGTAGTTAAGTGTGTGACTTAATAAAGGAGGAAATTGACTTGGGTCAACATACAATAATGTATTATTCATCACACTGTATGTATTTAAAGATGGACTACAAGGAGGAAAGTTTTCAATTGCTTTTTCAAGTTTATATAGAATATATAAAAAATGATGTTATTAGCACAAGTAGATCCATGTTTTGAAGTTTATGAATTTCTATAATACAAATTTTAATATAATATACAATAATAATTGGGTTTACGTACATCTCAATCATATATTATTATAAGTGGGAAGCTCTATAGTGAAAAGTTGAATTACTATTTTGCCCTTTTACTAAATGAAAATTTAATTTATTGTTTAGTTAAATATAAATATTTTAATTACACAATGATATGTATGTATCATATTCTTCTATTTAATTTTCTTAAGTATTTAAAATTATGGAGAAACTTTTAATTTATCCAATCAATGACTTTCAATAAGTAAAACAAAGGATGAGATTTTCTAAAGTCTTTTTATTACTCCTATTTATTCATGCATCACTTAATTACTGAAGTTGAAAGGTTTTTTCAGCTTTAAATTTTGAAGACACTACTTAACTTACATTAATTACAATGAATATGGTAAATGAAAAGATGATTTTTTTAAACTTCATTTCATGTTACTTCAGCCTTTCTAATTAACTTGAATTATTTTCATCTTCCACATATTATTAAAATGTTTAGATATTTAAGACATGGAGAAAGAAAATAACAACACAAATCAAGAGCATTCAAAAGTACAAGAATTCATATTCCAACCCTTTTTTTGAAAATTTTCTTGGTCTTCTCTATTACATGAAACTATATGATGACACAATATGGTTCTAATACATTTGGAAGTGCTATTTTGACATTTAGATGAACGTATTATTGAAAGAGTAAGTCACAATTTAGCTAACATTTTCCTTTGTTACTTTCCGTTTTAGTTTTGTTAATTATATT